CTTAGTATTCCATAGCGCGACTACGTTCCAGGCTTTGGAAGTATATATATCATATACACAGAAAAATCACAACCTACACATAAAATCAACCCTAAAGACAAAACAAAGCCCTTCTCGCAGCCGGACAAAAGCACTAAAACCACGACCACAGCACAATAGGCCGACCACCTATTCGGATTGGATCTCGCCCCTAGTCTTAGAACCAGAAACTGCAACGCCTGCTTAACTGGAACCAAAACCCACGAACTCGAAACCACATCCAGCCGACCAACCCCACCTCTTAGTCGAAGGAAATGATTAGCTATATTTATTCATCTATATTCGATGTTAAATGAATTATGTTGTGACGAAAAAAATATATTATGAATAAAATTATATTCTACTTTATTCGTTCTAACAAAATTTAGTAAAATAGTGTATATAACCTAGGTAAATAGTTATAAATATAGTAATATATTGTTAAATAGTTTTTTAATTCAATTCAAGTAATTTTCAAAATTATTATAATTAAACTAAATATTTTTCTTATGATTTTAAAGAAGGTTAATGAATTTTTACGTAAATGTCGATTTGTATAATTACAAATATTGTTCAATTAATACATATTGAAAATCAAATCAACCAACAAATAAATTATAAAAAATTCTTTCCAAAAATATAGAAAATATTTAAAAGGGAGAAAAAAAAATATAAAAAATTAATACCACGGAGTTATCATTTTTAGTAACTATTTTTTTAATAAAAAAACTTTATATAGTAAATGCTTTTATTAACCTTTATATATAGATCTCCCTATTCCCAAATAATAAAAAAAAAAAATGGAAACAAACACCCTTTTTGTCATTTCACAATTAGGTTTAAATTTTCAAACGCTCGCATGAGATTTGTACCTCAACGGTCACATTACAGCAAATTTATAACGTCTCTGAAACACAAATCTCTCAAACACACACACACACACACACTCTCTCTCTCACACCTTCCCACACTCCCTCTCTGCAGATCAATTTCTACACAGTCGCTTTTGTTGATTCCATCCATGGCGAGGCCCAATTCCAGAATCTCCGACAGCAGCAGGTTCATGGAGAGCATCTCCGCCTCAGTGCCGTTCAAGAGTCTGCTCTCGAAAGCAAAGCAGAAGTCGATCTCAAATCGCCGCTCAAAAATCAGATCGGACGGTGAGAACATTGCTCCCATCGATCCCAACATTCAAATTCGCGATCCTCCTATTTCTGCCTCGATCACGTTGCCCAAAAAATCGCCTTCCAAGGTTAAAGTTAGTCCTATAACAGAGGATCTTACTGCATCCGTAGTGTCTGAGAAAGTACCAGAAGGTCACGATCCTCCAGTGAAGGTACTCTGGTGTAATTATTTTTATTAATCTATGTGAAATTCAATCGTGGATTTTGCTGAAGCTTAAGTTTTTATGGATGTTCTGATGGTCTGGACTCCGGAGTTGGGCTTTTATTATACTTTTGGAACCCTATAAAGACGAGATCGTTGAATTTAGTTACTTTAGAAGTGTAGAGTGTGTACTAATATGAAGTTTCTGATTATTAATGTCTGGATAGGTTGTGGTGAG